GTGGCGGCACCAGCCTCTCAGCCACTTGTCCATTACCTGGGCTCTGCTATCCCACTCCGTGTGCCTCACCGCCCCAGGAAGGATAGAAGCAAATGTCACTCGTGCTCCCACTCCCTCCACCAACCGCCCTACAGCCCCAAAGTCCTTTGGGTAGTTTGCAGGCTTCTCGGAGCTACTTCATGGCTGCTTGCCTGCACTAATGAAGTAATGGGTAGTAATCAGAGGGATGAACCAGGTCAGGGAGTTTTCTAGCTGTGTCCTGGACCTGGGCCCTAGGGAGGCGGCACACCTCCCTGTGAGTCGGGTCCGGTCTGCATGCGGGGCCTTCTGTTCCCATGCGGAGGGAATCACCACCACCGATAGCCCTTCTGTCTGTCTTAGCCGAGGCAGTCTGGAGACGCAGCGTCGACCGCCTCGCCCTTGCCTTTTTTGTCTTAGGCAAAGCTTCCCGGGCCTCCTCGCTCACCTCGCCTTCAATTTACAGTGCCTGGCCCACGATGCCGAGCTGGGACTGTCTTCCAGTTCTCCCAGCTCTCTGCCTGACAGTGACAGGACATGGGGTCCATCCCCCACTTGCTGGGGGGTGTCTCCCCGGCGCCTTCCTCCCTGGCATGCCTGGGAGTTTCTCCACCAGTCAATCTCTTGCTCTCACTCCCTGATGGTCCTTCACCTCTCCACCTCCTGCTTGAGCTGTGCCAGCATGCTGAGCCGATCTTCCACCTGCTCACCCCTCCACTCCTCAGGTGGAGTTCCTGCCGCCCTCCTCGGCATCAGCAGGCTCAGGCACTCCCTGCAGCCGGAGACCTGAACAGCCACACTCTTGCGCAGGGCCTCCATCTGGTCGCCACAGCCTTTGCGGGGCAAGCTGGTTGCCTGGTGGAGATCGTGGCCTCGGAGAGACAGCACCTACTGCCAGTAGGTAAGCTGGTCTCCAGAGCTAGGAAGGACAGTACTTCTTCGCCGTCCTGCACAAGCTACCACACCTGCTGCTGCAGTATGCTGTGGCTGCTGCGCACGTGCTGCCTTCTCCTCACTGCACTTGGCGGGCAGCGATGCACTGAGGCCCTCCCTTAAGCTTTTCTTAAGGCAAGGGGCGTGGATGCAGTTCCATTGCCCTGGCAATGCTGACACCACATCAGCCACTCTCACGAGAACTGTGGGGCTGCTGCGTTGGCTCAGGGTTCCCCTGGTAAAGGAACTGACCGAACCCCCCCCGCCCCCCCATACCTTGCAAGGAGGCGCTGCGATTCTGTCCGGGCCGGTTCTGAAGCAGCTAACCTCGGCAGTCAAGGATGAAGTGAAGAATTAGATTGTGTCATCTTGCATTCCGATACCATGTGTAGGAAACTCAGACTTTCTTCCTCAGATCGCTGCCGCTGTTTTGTTCTTAGGCCCGTCTCCCATCTCCCTACCCTTGCCCCCTTCTCCCTTCCCCCTTTCCTGGGACGTGGGCCTGTGGGTCCCCCGTGCCCATTAGTCATGGCAGCAGGCTGGGCTGGCCTATAAACCGTCAGTACGCCTCCGTCCCTGCCCCTTTTTTTTCGGGGCGTTGGGCCTGTGGGCGTGCTGTCCCCCATCACGGACACAGAGAGGTGTAAAGATAACTCCACGGCAACCATCCAGGAAGGTGCTGGGGAGAAGACAACCCCGTGGTCTCAGCTCCTAACACTGCCCACCGCAGGACAAGCAGAGAAGACTGAAGCCAACATGTGGGGAGGATGTTGAAGGTTTATTTTTTTTTTGCCACTTGGAACCACAACCATCACGCCAGGATGGGACATGGCTGATTCCGCGCTGTCTTTGGGACTGGTTGTGGAGATGTCTTCTCTGATGCTGGAACCGGGAGTGGCTTTGTGGCTGGGCTGGTCCACCGAAGAATGAAGGCAGCATGGATGGACTCTCTTCCAGGCTGATTTTCTTTGCTGCTTGGGACCACAGCCGTCACATGACAGTGTTATTGCTTAGTGTGACAGATGGTCAGACATAGGAACTTAAGGCAACAGGAATAAGTGCCACGGGTGGCCCGTGGGCAGGGAGTGGCTTCGTGCCCGGGCTGGCCCCCGCTGCCTGGACCGGCTGCCACGGTCTCATCGGGGCCGGCTGCAGGAAGTTGAAGCGCGACGCCCCAGTGGGGATCGGCTTCGAGAGCGGGCCCGCCCTCGTTGCCTGGATTGTCTCCTGCGTGCAGGCAGAGGGGAAGCCCTCGAGGACCTGGATGGTGCTGGTCTGGCCGAGGTGTGGGTGCTGCTCTGAGCACCTCGGGTTGTTGTACGGCTCCCACCACGTTGTCTTCGGGGCCGACTCTGGGAGCCCGAGGCCCGGCCTTGCAACGGGGAGCGGCTTCTTGTACGGCCGGTCTCCCGCTGCCTGGGACGATTTGTGGCTGCACGTGTCCGGGATGTTCTGGAGGACCGTCTCCTCCTACCACGTCTCTGACGGGTGACCACAGCATCGCAGGTGTCCCACGCCCAGGCGTTTCTGCGCATGGCCCAGAAGGAGCAGCACCAGCGCGTGCCTTGTGAGCCACAGGAGCTGCAGAGCATTGGCTGACAGGGCCTGCGGAAGCAAACAGGTTGTGTCTGTGAGCACAAAGCGAGCCAAGGCAGGGAGCAGCCGGCACGGCTCTGGTGCTCAGCCCTTGCTCCCCCCAGCCTATGGTGAGGCTGAGATCCCACGCAGAGCCCCAGAGGACTGCGCAGGTCACTCACTCCTCTTCCTGTGCGCTCTCCCTGCCTCCTAGGTGAGTGCACGTGCTGGCACTGCAGCCACTGTGCCTTTCTCGCAGCGACTGGTACGCTTCATCGTCCCACCAAGATAGTCGTCTGCCAGAGAAGAGAGAGAATGCGATGAGTCCGCGGTGCCCCAGGCGTGAGGCAGATCCAGGGCACCCCTGTTCATCCCCCTTGAGCTTATTCCCAGCTACTCCGTGAAGCTGAGACCGATGCTTGCGGGACGGCAAGGGACTGGGCCTGCCGGGGCAGTTCATGGGCAGGCACAGCACCTGTGCCTGAGTGTCTGCAGAGTCAGGAAGAAGGAGACCAACCTGATTGGAATTTGGATCCCCAGCCTGGTCATTTGGGATTGGAATCTCCCTCTCTCTCCGCAGACGGGGCAGTAGAAGCGCGCGGTGGCAGCGAGTATGGCATGTCTCTGCAGGAGAAGCACAAGCGTGAGCGTGAGCGTGAGTGTGAGCAGGGCTGGCTGCTGCTGAGCACCGGCCGTGCCCACGGGGCGAGGGGAGGGCTCCTACCCTGATGCAGCCCCGGTGGAACCAGGCCTGTTTGCACACCGGGCACAGCATGGTGCGGTAGGACGTGCTGTCCCCCACGGGCTCCAGGCAGATGATGCAGATGGTGTTCTGAGACGGAGCTGCCTCCGCTGCCTGCTGAGGGCGATGCTCCCAGCAGAAGGACCTGCGCAGGAGGACAGAAGGGATGGGCATGGTGAGGAGTGCTGTGAGGAGCGCAGAGAGCCAGGAAAGAGTGCCGGGTCTGGGCTCCGGCTCTGGCAGGATGCTGGGAGGTGTGGCTGCAGGTTCCTCCCTGGGAGGGACAGGGAGGGACGGCAGCTTGGCTGCTGCTGACAGCCCTTACCTGTACTGCCCAAAGTACTGCATGACGCATTGCCCGTCCTCGGCGCAGGGCAGATGGAAGCTGCGCTCACAGCCTGTCTCCGCGCAGCTGATGGCAGCTCCCCTCCCGCCACAGACAAAGCAGTGCTGAAAAGAACAGAGCGGTCCCCGTCAGCGGTGGGCTTGGTGCCTCCGCGGCTGGCCCCACTTCTCCAGGCAGGGCGCAGGGTGTGGGCACCGCTGCCCCACACTCTGCAGAGCTGCCTGGCAGACGAGGCTTGTCTGCTGTGGTGGGGCTTTGTCCTGGAGCCGGTTGGAAGGGCCGCAATCGCTTTCCATAGGCCCAGGCAAAACCTTGGTGCGAGCCTCTGCCGGCACCAAGCTCCCCGTTCCGTTCAGGTGCTCACCTTCTGGTCTGCCAGCTGGATGGTGTGCTGGATGGCACCAGTGGAGAAGCCACAAATTCCACCCATTGGGCATCTCCATCCCAAAAGGCCATCGGCAAAGAACTGTAGGAGAGAAAAGAGCGGGATCTCGTGAGGCCAGCAAGGAAGGGAGCATCCCTGGCAGGAGCCCTAGCCCTTGAGGGGACTCACCAAGCAGAATTCGTGGGCACAGAGCCCACCATTGGCAAACGTCCGCCCGCAGATGTCCGGGTCGACCTGTGCCTGGCGGCACAGCATGCACACTGCAGAGGAAGGAGAGAGCAACCATGAGCAGCGCTGAGCACCTGGCGGGGTCGGGTAAGCCTGGCCATCCCCAGGGCCTGCCCCGTGCCTGCCGTGCCTGCCGTGCCTGCTGAGGGGCAGGGCTGGAGGGGGTGAAAGGGAAGGGGGCATTGCGGGCCCAGCAGCGCCAGCAGGCAGCCACAGCCCAAGCTCAACCCCTGGCCAAGGAGCAGAGGGGCCCTGCCTGCCCGCGGCGCTGGGGAGCCCCTGCCTGCTCCTCCCTCCCCTCCCAGCCGCAGGCAGACCTGGCCTGGCAGCGGGGAGCCGCACGCAGGGATGCGGGGCTCTCACCTGGCTCCCCAGAGTTGGGGGTCTCCTCGGTCCGTTTGGACATGTTCGGCATTCACAGCGAGAAACAAGAGAGTCAAGAAAGTCCCTCCTCTCTCCGCGCCTCACCAAGCCGCACTGAGCACAGCCCCAGCCCGGCAGCCTTTGCTCTGCTCCCGGCCCCGCGGGTCACAATGGCCACCACTGTGACATCACCGTGACATCACGGTCAGCACCTCACGGGGGGGGCTGAGGGCACCGCACCCATGCGGGAGGGCGGCGGCTCCTGTGGGCAGCGCAGGGCAAGGAGCCCAGTGCTGCCGTCAGCAGGGAGCAAGGATGGCCTCCCTCGGGCCTTTTGCACCACATCGCAGCAGAGAGTCCAATAAACGTCTGCGGGTCAACAGCGCAGCCAGCATTTCTAGTGTGTGTTCCGAGTGACTCTCCACGGTCTGATGGTGGCAGGCCAAGGTTTTGAGCTGAGAAAAGAGGAGATCTGGTGAACTGCCAGCAGGAATTCCTCACTCAGAGGGCTGTGAGGCCCTGGCACAGCTGCCCAGAGAAGCTGCGGGTGCCCATCCCTGCAGGCGCTCCAGGCCGAGTTGGACAGGGCCCTGCTCTAACCTGACCTGACCTGACCTGCTGGGTGGCAGCGCTCCCATGGCAGGCACTTGGGGTTGGGTGGGTTTTATGATCCTTTCCTGCCCAAGTCTTCACACATCTCAGCTTCAACCCTTATACGGTTCCCAGAGGCAAAGTGGCATAGGCAGGGCACGATTGCCTTCAAGCCTGCGTATAAAACGAGTCAGGAAAACTTCTGACTCTGTTTTTTTTGCTTTCTTTGACCTGCTGGCAATGGTCACCATGCCAGAGACAGGAGAGGAGCGGTCCCTTGTCCAGGGCTGCAGTCCTGGAGTCACACTGGAGCATCCCTGCTCATCCAGCCTGACCATGAGAGTCAGCTTCTCCGTGAAAGTCAGGCCAACGCTGATGGGAGAGCCCCCACGTCTAGAGAGCCGCCCTGTGCGGAGATGCTCACTGCATAGGGCTTCAGGCAGCCTGACCTAGTGGGTGGCAGCCAACACGCTGCAGGAGTTTGGAACTGCAGACAGAATTTAATGTCCCTTCCAAGCCAAGCCATCCCAGGATCCTGTGATTCAAAACTATCAGCTCTGCACTGGCGAGCACCAGGTCCAGCAGGGCTTCACCTCGGGTCGGTCCGTCTAGTTACCTGGACGAGGAAGTAATCCTCAGCAGACTCCAGGAATCTCCTGGACTGTCTGCCACCTGCCGTGCTGCTATCCTGGCAGGGATCCAGGTGGTTGAAATCCCCCATCAGGACAAGAGCCTGCGAGCGCGACACCTCCTGCGGCTGACGCAAGAAGGCCTCGTCAACAGGCTCCCCCTGACCAGGTGGCGTGTAGCAGACCCCAAGCACTAGATGCCCTTTCCTGGACCGATCCCTGATTTTCACCCTAAGCTCCTGTAGTGGTTTTGTGATTTTTCTTGTCGGTGTTCCACATCATAACATCATGGAAAGCAGTGGGAGTGGAAGAGTTAATGTTCTGGTTCTGTGGACTGCCTTTCTGGGACGTTTTGGCTCTCGGAGGGGAGGGGAGGGAAGGGGAGGGGAGGGGAGGAGAGGAGTGGCATTCCGCAGAGGACTTCTTGCCCAGAGCAAGAAAGGTGGAGCTCCTGGCAGGACACCGGCCTCTCTCCCTCTTAGGGACTCTCTCGGTTTTGCAGCAGGGAAGCACGTGGTTCCCTCTGCAGTCTGTCGCGTAAGGCTTCGGCTTTGGACGCTCTCATTGTGCTTGATGTACCTGGATTTGGTAAACTAAGGGTCTTCCTCAGATCGTTGCCGTTGCTCTGTTTTTTTTCTCTGTTAGACCCATCTACGATTTCCCTACCCTTGCCCGCAAGTCTGCTGCCGCTTTAGTCATGGGGCCGGGCCGACTGGCCGTAACCCTTCAACGCTTTCTTTGTTATCCTCTCCCCCTTTGCACTCTGTCCACTTCCTAACAGAGAGGACAACACCCCCTCCCCTCCTGCCCCCGTCTGTCCCTTCTGAAGAGCCTGGAGCCCTCAATCACAGTACGCCAGCCGTGAGATTCGTGCCACCACGTTTCCCTGATAACAGCAACCAGATCGCTATTTTCCAAGCGCATCATGGCTTCCAACTCCTCCTGCCTATTTCCCATGCTGCGTGCATTAGTGGAAAGGCACTTCAGCTGGGCTTTCTGGCAGTCTAGCCTTCTAGAGGGGCCCTCCCTCAAACCTCCAAAAGAAACTTGAAGTTTTCCCCCACTGCTTCCTAGAGGGACAAGAGAAGGTTTTGGACAGGGAACTGGCAATATTAGCTCCTCTGGGGAGTTCCCAGAAGATCCTACAGCATCCCACAGGACACTTTGGAGGTTGTTCCCCGCAATCTCCTGGCGTGACAGCAACCCTAAGAGTTTCTTTGTCCCGCCTCACTTGGCTCTCTTCCCCCATCGGGCCTAGTATAAAAGCCCAGACTACTTGCTCTACCCTAGCGAGCCTCATGGCATCCCCTTCCATTCCCGCTTCCTACCTAGTTGCAAGCCCTCTCAATGAGCCCCGCTATCTCTTGGGCTGGGATCCGTTTCCTTCTCAGAGGCAAGTGACACAGGCCTGCAGCCATTAGACCGGGTGCCGAGCAAATGGCCCCGTGGTCAAAAAGCCCAAAGTTCTGTGGCGGCACCAGCCTCTCAGCCACTTGTCCATTACCTGGGCTCTGC